GGGCAGTACAAGTGTTTTCAATCCTTAGTTACAGTAATATTGAAAGAAAACATACTGTGACGGATATATTGAAATCCACCATTTCTATGGAAGTCTAACTGGATGAACCTCTACATGGTTTACTAGCATTCGACTGTAATCTATGAAGTGTAAAACATCATACAAACCTACTCAAATTAGGATTTAATTGAATTCTACAAGTAGTTTCCTCATCATACGAACACACTGTATGTTTGGATGTGAAGTTATGCTGTTGAACACACGCTTAACTACTATAACCACTTTCTGTCTTCTAGCTATAAAAGGTATGCATTCGAAATGATGTCCATTCGCAGTAGACCTAAACGAAGTATTACGGTAATCGATTTTCACATAAGATGTTTGCCAATTGTGTAACAGAATCTAGTATTCGATAATGTGAGTTACGTAGACTAGGTAATCGCCAAGCTTTCCTTGTTCGTAAATCTTTCAAATGTTTATGTTCGTTAAGGACTTCATACTTAGGAAAACTATCTAGTCAATCTAATCACCAAAATTGTTTCCATGACTAGCCGTCTACTTACACAGACTGTTGTTTCGCGTTCAATTGTTTGAAAGAGTTATCAAATATATGAGAGTAAGATGTTGATATTTATGTCCACAAGATTATTCAATATTCATTTGAGTTCGATCATATGCTTTAATACTCATTGCAAATACCATTGGGCGAACTGATCAAGATGAATAGTTGGTAGTTGAATGCAACATCTTACTCAAGAATTAAGTTCAGTGAAAATGCATTTACAATCCGTATAACTAATTATACTTCGAATACGTTATTAGATATGTAAAAGTATTGAAAGTCAATAGAGGAATATCCCCTTCAATATCAATATATGCAATTTAAGGCAGTTCAGCATAAAACGATCCGATTGACATGTTCATCAAAGTGAATTCTTGACGCAGAATTAGAATTTGCTGGAAAAACTCTTTAAATGACATGATTACAGTCAGTCGAACGTACTTTGCTGAACTGTTTAGAACATCTACCACATCATGTTTTGGATATTCTAATGGTATATTTCAATGTTTAGAAAACTTGATGTATGTGTATCATGAAATGAAGATTAACAGCGAAATCGAACTGTAGATTGTGAAAGTGCATGCACAGTAATAGACGTACTTAATTTGCTTGAATTTTATAAATTGTATCATCATTTGACATCCAGTTTCATATCATGTAAATGGGAGAAACAACACGTAAAATTATCCTTCCATTAGTAGCTACTCTATTCGAATGTAATCACTTCTGGTAATTTCAAAGAGGAAATTAGGACAATATGATAAGTAATAGTAAACAAAACGATCTAACGGTCTGTAAGATTATGTTAGTGAAATAGTGGTTTTGAATAATGCGAAGGATTAAAATAGTATGTAACTTGAAATATACCGCACATATGTGATAGACTGAATGTAAACAGTAGTTGCATACATCATCGTATCAAATATACATCATACGGTGTTTCGACTAGTGTGCTTCCAACAACTGTTGTTCATGGGTTAGTGAATAAATCGTTGTTCCATACAGTTAATTCTTATTTTGAAATAACACCATCTGTATAGGATTTTCAAACCATTCACCATTCATGGATGAGAACACAACGAGACATGCAAGTAAAAATATATTGTATTAATGTGAAGCTTTACAGAGTAGACGATCAGGTTAATACTATTCATTGAGATTGATAGACGCTGAACACCTGTAACCATAAACCTAAAGATGTATAATTTCATATTTGGACAGAATGGTTTTGGTTGACATTCTACAACTCACTCAACATTCTGTTCTCCATAGGAATCATTCTTGACGATTCGGTTAACAAAACTGCCTAATGATATATCAGTTTGTCATTGATCATGAGGTGAGAAATAGTACACTATTTAATGGTTGATTTTTATAGACGTCATCCCCATACAAATAACTAACACAAGAAACATGATATGTCTATGTAGTCAACGGAATAAACAGGTTAACATTGTGTTTGTTTTATTTCTAATCGAATCACTTATTCCGTTGTTCTGTACAAAGTTAACTTAATCAAAGTTCAATGAAAAAAGTAACCACTCATAAGTTAACAGAGTCGATTCAAAGTAATTGGTGAATTCCATTATAAATTCGTTTAATTTTATTGAATCATTTTTACTGTGAACATCAGAATCACTCCATGTGAGTTTGTTAAATTCTATCGAATGGTAGGAATTAAGATTGAGTTTAGATTTGTTGATAAGTTGTATTATAAGTAGCAATAACAATGGTTACGTTTGATGTTATAGGCTAACAACAATACAAATCACTCAGAGCAAATGATTTCAACCAGTTTCTATTACATATTTGGGAGAGATTCTTATAGATTCCCATTTTTTGGTGCCTCATTCTTCCTGAGTATGTTGAAGCTGAGAGATATGAATGAAATGGATGTTAAATATTCGATAGGATATTACTTTTCAGCAGTCTGTCCACAAACATGTTCGTAATGAACTTGGTATTGTTTGCTTGTATCTTCACACTGTTGTTCAGAACTGCAATTCATCAGTTTCTTGTTGGCATATTTGAATCCATCGCGAACTACGTCGGTGTTGCCTTAAGTCACAAGCTTTATTCGCATAGACGGATTGTGCCTAGCAACAGACGAAACGCGCTTCCTGGATTCCACAACTAGCCACTATACATCCTTGCTTACAAAATCATGTTCATATTCATCTCGAAAGACTCGCCACACACTCTACTCACTGCCTTCAGTGCTCTCCACAATGCAACAAAATCTTTCCTGAAAATCATCGAAAAGAATAACGGAGAAGAGTAGTGAATATTCACTGTAAATTTCGAGCGATGCGATAACCATTTAGCCTCACCATATAAAAAGACAGGTCGAAAACTTTTCTTGATAAGAATGCCACATGAGAAGATGAAGAATAAGAAAGTGTAAGTCTTACACCACGATAAGTGACCTTTGACATTATTTTCACTACGGAATTTCTAATAGTACAAACTTCATCGTAGTAAGTCAGGGTGTTTGAGTATTATTCTTGATATAAAGAGGTACGAGTCCTCACTTCTAATGTTGAAATACAAACAAAGTATTTCCCTCAGAAATCGGGAGGACAGTCACTCTTCGATTGTATGATATCCACTTGTAAACTGTGCCCAAATAACCACAAATTTTTCATACCTAAGTGATTTGAATCATTTTCTGTGGTTGTCGTTTTTTAGTGAGTGAGTTTTCTACGGGATGTGGTCACTAACCCTTTGCTCAACCCTCCAGCTTTATCGTGGTACGGAACCGGCAGTAAACTCAGGGGAGCTCCAGGCGGACGTGGAACTTTATCATAGTGAAATAAGTAGACTAACGTAAGAAACAACATAATTCCATTGAGTATTATTTATTGATATGAATAAATTGGTCAATGTTAACTATCTTCACCAGATCTAGCGCAATAACGTTAATGACTTTACTTCACTGTATTCAGTGAACGGCTAACGTGAATCTAATGAATTCGATTTTCACCGGCTGTCGGTCTTGTTTATGAATCTCGTAATGATTATACATACAGCAAACTAGTCAGATAAAAGTCAAATCCTGTACATGAATCCATACCTGTTGAAATACAATGAAAAAAGAAAGGAATAGGCATGCGAATGAAAATACAAGGTTTTACGTAATTCATGAAATTGATTATTTCCATTACTGTATTGTGAATTCTTACTTATTTTAGTCAACGTTGAAATTGGTGATCGTGGAAGGTTAATTTTCAAAGGTGACTTATCCACAAATCTCGATTGCAGATAGTTCAAAGATGATTAAATTCGAATTTGATAATTTGTCAAATGAAACCAGTCAGAATAATTCTACTTGCATGTAAGATATTTTTCATTCCATTTGACAGATTCAGCTTTACTCAGTATACGGAACCAGTTGTTCTCAGTGGTCTCATATTAACGTAAGTAATATATGTTTATAATATACGTATTCCCCGAGAATCATAACGACGATTTCCCATGTATCACTATTACGTATCATTCATCGAGCCGATTAATACACTGTTATAAGTCATTTGACCCGTGTTTGACAAGAATGTTATGATTGAGGAACAGAAAATTAGTTTGTTCAGTTTGTAGTACAAACAACTCTCATTTTTTGTTACATCACATCATAATAAATGATCATACTGAAATATCTTTAGGTACTTATTTGAATTCATAAATATTGGTACAAAGGGTTAGCGAGTACATATACGACACACAAATCACTGGATTTGCGTGTGAGCTGAGACACTGCCGGGGTGATCGGATCGAAGCAAGCGGTTTTCTTACGGAGCAACACCCGGAACCGTCGTCTAAAACGCCTGATACACAAGTCAGTGGAGCAACGTCAGGTGATGCAGTCCCACAGTAGCCAGTGGCCAAGAATAGTTTCGCATGCCATTTCTTCCCACAGTATCCTGGAGCCATGTGCATCACTCGTTTGTAGTCAGTGTTTTCCAACTCCCCCAAGTGGACTCTCCGTGTTCACTAATCAGGATGAAACGCTGAACATTTGCCTTTCGTCCTCTCAATTTTGCAAACAACACCCAAACCATCAGAGGACAATGAGTAGGACTTCTCTGGCAAAGGTTGTATACGCGTGTCCATGTGAGAAAATTTCGAGATGGAGACCTATTTCTCCTCAACCTCGGCCGTACCAGGGCATTTTCAAGATGAAATAAGATATTCAAGACGACCAATCATTAAGTATTCTGACAAGTTTCACGAACTTTTGAAAATGTCGAACTGAGACAATGAGCAACTTGTTCAACCATTTCATACATACAGATTATGTAGAACACCTGATGCACATCACTATGGCCTATTGTATATGTGAGTTTAGTATGTTGTACATTTCTCTCTTTTGTTCTTCAGATTTATCGGATTAGTTCTTGGATTAATAATCATATTTATTAATAATCTACATACTACATCTACAATGAACACAATCGTCATCGTGATAACCGTCAGTTGATTATGATATTAAAATTACATTCATGGTATTTTCATTCAACCATCAATTGAATTTATTGTAGATTTGTTTGTTTAATAATGTAAATATTGTCATATTATTTTGATAATGGCTATCAAGATAAAAGAATGTTTGAAGGTTGACTTGAGCAGATGAGTTTCGATGTTGAATTTTAAGATACCATTATGTTAAGAGATCCAGTTTCTATAGTTTCACTGATTTCATTGGTGATTCGTTCGTTTATGGGCTATTACTTAACAGTTAACTGGTGAAAATAATATATCAATAAAAGATATCCGTCCATGTTATGGTTAATTCAGATATTTGTAGACGTGTAAACACGTGATACCGGTACATTCTACTCTCATCTACGTTTGTTGATATCATCATTTGTAAGATATGGAATGAGTTGTAAACACATAACAACTAAACAAATTGAATTTCTGTCATCTTAATTTGTGTAACCATCCACACACTTTATCTGCCACTGAACTTGTGTTTAGTGATACATGATTCATCATTTGGTGCCTCAAGTTGCAGTCACCACTAGCCGTCGTGGTTTTTGGTTTACGCAAGTTAGGATAATTCACACACTATAAGTAATAAATCTCACATAACATGGTCATGTGTACTAGATGAGCGAATTAGCTTTGAAACTACTTCATGTTTGTCAATATGATAGACTTGGATAAGCATTCCTTGCCAAGTGCTTGTATCCATAAATATTCATTTTAAAGCATTTCAGTCGAATGCAGAACAGTGAAGATTATTATTTCATTATTTCTACAGTTGTTGACCGATTCATCTTCTGAACTAATAAGAATTTGACACTACTTTTTCCCTATTCAGATGATCTTTATAATTGTCGGTGTTGTTTTACTAATGTCAGTCGGAAAATGGTACGAACAAATTATCTCTGTATCTATAGCTACCGCGCTCTTCATCGTAGCCTTTTTACTGGATGTAAAGCTACAAGGTTCAAAAAGAAGATGGAAGATAATTTTGTTCACGATGTGTTGTGTATTTGCTGTAACTGGGTTGATTTTCTTTGTTTTCGGGGTGATATTTGATATCGTAAGTTGATTTAGTCAAAGATTTCTACAACCTACTAGTGGTTTTCTGAAATAGCTACAGTTGTCCTAATAAAATATTGCCAATAATGAATACCGATGTAACGTTTCCAACACTGAAATACAAATACATCTTCAATTCATATTTCATTGAGGAATATTCCAAACAAATCTTTGTTTTCTGATACATGTTCAACTATGTTGAATATTTATTCACATCACTTCGCCGCCATAATAAATACAACAGTGTTTTCAGAAGGGGTTTGTGGAGATTTTTTTTAGAAATTTTCACAGATTGAAATCATGAGTCAGTTGAAGCTAGACCACCATTGAAAACCTGGAAGCACTGGACGGCCGTTTCGTCCTAGTATGGGACTCCTCAGCTGTGCGCATCAACGGTCCTGCACCCCGCGGGATTCGAACCTAACAACAGTGTTTCCACCATCATATTTTCATCACGTACAAATTGCTTAATTAATCCAGTTTCCTTTACACATGGATTAAAACTGGTAAACGTCTGCAATTTGATGTGGAGTTTACACTGTATGTTGTTAATACAAAGCATCATGAAATTACATTATCATTTGAGAAATTGATTCTCAATACTATCTATATATTGTGATTATCTAACAAAATGATAATTACAGTCCAAACCACCAACAGTACATCTTCAGGCAACGATTTCATATTCGTGGAATAGGTAGCTTGAATGTTTCGTGATTCAGTCTTTGACGAACCTAATTCGTTGTTTAAACAATCGTCAAGCATGAGAGAGAGTGATTATATGATGTGCGAATTCACAATAACAGACTGTTTGGTCTCATACATGAATTGGTACATAATAGTTTAAAATTGGTAGAGTTAGTTAATAGAGTAATTCTGTTTCTTCACTGATACTTATGTAGATCTGTGATGAAGTTAGGTGAATTGTTTTCTTTTCTTTATTTTAGAAAGGTTTACTAGTTGCAACCTTGGTTTGTTGGTGCGGCGAAATGTTAATTGTAAGTTCTGAACGAATAATCGAATTCAAGTACAAACAACCGTTCATTGATTATTATGCATTCAAACATAGAGTTCTATAGAAATTAGAACTTTGAAGCATTAGTGTTCACTATTCACAACATTCACAGGCATTCATCACGAAAAGTTTCAAAGCAAACACAACGAGATGCCAAGCTGAATGGCTGAAAGAGAGGCGTTGAGTTGTTGGACAGCTCAATCTATATGATTCTGTTGTAAAAACGATCATCTGTCAATATTTGACAAATAAAAATACAAGGCACTTACTGTTCATTTGTAATGTATAAATATTCAGAGGTTACTAAGTGCGTAACCTTAAGTCATTAAATGCCTATTATTTCACTGATACATAAATTGATATGAATGCATCGATAATGAAGTATTTATCTACACTTTCATAACTACAGGTGATTACTTGCACAAAATATTATCTGGATAGCTACCGCAAATCACGACAGTTTTCTACACTGTACTGTGTTTTCCTATTGATGTATGAATACATCGTGCTTCTCATCAGTTTAAAATTTTCTTTAAATTCAGTCATTGATTGTGATTGGAATAACAAGACAATGATTAGACACGATGAACAGATTCTGTTCCACTGAATGTTTTAATCAGTTCACAGATATTTAAGTGGAATATTTTGAAGATTATTGTAAACTGCTTTGTTATTCATAACAGACGTCCTATTAAATAGATATTTGTCTGTTGAATTAGATGTCTGGATTGAAAATATTCGTTTAAAATATAAACAGACTTTACAGACAAATGCTTTTTTATACAGCTAGCACTACCGTGAATATTGACACGTGAAATAAATATTGACGAATAAGAAGAAGACACCATTTTACGTTCAAGGATAGCATTAGACTTAACAGGATAATTTTTGGGATATTTTTCTGAATATCGCAACACATTCCTTTGGAAACGTTAATAGCGACGTAACCGAGGGTTTACTTGAAATTTCTTTGGTTATCTTTGCTTGCGATCCGACCTCCAAAGTAACCACCCAGAAACAGAGGGATGTTCTGCTCCAGTAGATGACTCAGTTTTCTCTGTTTTAAGTATTGCGGAAGTTGAAAAGTATCCAACAGCTAGTCGAGTGGGACGCGTTTCATAATTGATTCTTTCTCCCTAGCTTTCCTTGGCCTTAGTTGATTCTGGTGCCTGGTACAGATATCTTGGTTCACCTTGACATCACATATGACGTTCCCATGTTTCCTTGTGAATTCAACATCTACCCATCTATCACATCCGTTTCTATAGTCCCGCGCATACACTTCCGCACCAACTACGTAAGGAATTTGCGTAATATGCATCTGAGGGCTTTGCTGGGTCACTTGCTCGGGTGTCATCACACTACCAACTGTTCATAGCTTTCGCCCCATAGGCATCTCAGCAGGAGATTGGAAAGTTGGCAATAAGTCGTACGGGGTGGTCCGGTACACAACTAGAAATCGTTCTATGATATCTCCTGTGGTCCCCTCCACTCGTGCTTTAAGCACGGCTCGTTTAAATGTATCAACGAACCCTTCAGCTTGTTCATAAAATTGCGGATGATATGGCGTAAAACGTACATGGTTGATCGAGGTTTGCAGGCAAAATTCTCGGAATTAGCTTGGTGTGAATTGTGAACCACTGTCTATTACTATTGTTTCTGGAAGACCATGCTGAGCGAAGATCTGATTAGGGAGTTTGATGGTTCGAGTTGTAGCGGGTAGCTCAATTGTCAATAGCTCCGGCCATTTGGAGTAGAAGTCAACCAGTATCAGATATGTTGTACCATCTAGGGGTCCGGTGAAGTCAATATGCACTCGCGATCAGGGATTTTCCGACTTTGGCCAGGGTACTGGAGGCAAGGTAGGGGGAATTTTTGCAGCTGTTTGACAATGTGAACATCTTTTGATGAAGTTGAAAATCTGCTTGTCCATGTTCAGCCAATATGCATAGCTGCGAGTGATGGATTTCATCCTGTTTATCTTCGGGTGTCCAGAGTGAAATTGACGTAGGACCTTGGAACGTAGGGTTGTTGGAATTACTACGAGTTCATCGAACACCAGACAATCGTTAACAACACAGAGGGCGCTGGACGATTCGCTAGTTGTTGCATATCACCACTCAGCTGTTTAATTGTCCATGTGCTCTGAATATAGGTGATCGCATCTTGGAAAATCGGGTGTTCTCTGGTAGCTTCCCGAACATCTTTTGCGATAACACGCATTGCTCGAAAGGCATTCGCTAATAGTGTAGCACCAAAATCCTCTCCCGTTGATATTATGGCTATGGTTACCAAAGGGCAACCGGGTATACTGAAAAAATCCTCGGTGAGTGCTGACTGTCAAAATCTCTCTCGATTCAAGAGCGACTGAAATTTGAAGGTAAGCATCCGCCAGATCGAGCTTAGCAAAGTAGGCGCCATCACTTAAAATAGTAAATGAGTCACCTGGGATCGGCAGCGGATAGTGATGCTGTTGTGGAACCGCGTTGAGTGCACAGATGCATACGGAACCAATGAGTTTTTTTACAGCCACAATTGGTGCAGCCCACGGTGAATAAGAAACAGGTACAAGAACACCCTCAGTTTCCAAACGTCAAAGTTCAGCGTCAACCAGTGGTAGAGATGCCTATGGAACTGAACGTTTTGAGCAACAAACTGGCGTGGCTTCTGGCTGCAGTCCTAAAACAGCTTTCGCTGTGGAACAAAGTTCGAGACAAGGTTGGAAGAGTTCAGTATATCGATTTTGAAGGTTTGCAGCATGCTGCTGTGTAGAGGCAGTAGTTTGTACTTGATAGCAGATAGAGCTAATGAGAAGATCAGTGAGACCAAGTTCCTCGAACCAATCTAAACCTAGAAGATTGAGCGTAGAATTGGTGATGTAGCACTGTAGAATCCAAACTACGGTTTGGACTGCTGAATAGCCTTCCAGGTACGTTAGACACGCGCCCTTGCCCGTCAAAATCAAAACAAGTAATCGGGTAAATGACGGTTTTATAATTCATCACAAATTTAAATGTACATCGTGACCTAAACAAATATTACCACCCGGCTATTCAACCAATAATTGTTCAGTCAATCAAATCTAAATTGCAGTAAATAAGGGCGTTGGTAAAAGATGCGGGAAAAATTACCAGTCAGAACAAATAAACGCTATTCCATCCTGACACGAAAGAACGCGCACAAAAGGAGGAGCAAATCAATATGGCTGCCGTCAAGAACAAGTATCAAGTAAAACGACATAGATGCAGTTCGGGAAGAAACACAAAAACCTAATGAAGGCGCAAGAAAAATAAAAACTATGATAAAAAATACAAATATTAACAACCCAAATGTAATCAAAAGACTAACAATGTACAGCTAAGGGAATCAACAGAGACAAAGTGGAAGTGTATACATAGAGGGAACTTCACACACACACAAAACATTCAAAATGGATCTTACAGCACTCACCATTGAAGGTTGTACCTCTGAATGAAATGCAGCAATAGGGTTCATCATGCAGGCGGAGATGACCCCCTCAGGCACTGACGGTTGTCTGAGAGGATGGTTTGGTGGGGGGTTTGCCCAAGTTTCGCCAAATCATTTTCGAAAGAATAATGATATCTGATGCAGTATCCAACTGCAGCCGAACTGGCTGACCACTGATTGAGAGGGCCAGATATTTGCATCGAGTCGCGGCATGAGTGTGGAAGACTACTGCCAAACTCCTTGATGAGGCAATCGGCTTTTTGGGAAAACGATGCCGTGTCTGTGCATTTTGACGGTTATTGGATCGGTTGGATTTGGGAAAGTAGCGTTTGTGACCAATTTTCGGACAGCGATTGCACACATGCTGTTTTAATGGACAAAACTTCATATAGTGCCATGCTCCATAGTGCCAACATGTCGAATGGGGCTTCTTCTGAGATGGTTTGAAGTGATTAGTGACAGAAATGGCGCTGGCTTTTGACAGACTCGGGGTTCTCGATCTCGAGTAGTTTTTTGATGTTGAACAGCATGAACTTCGGAACCATTCTTGCCCCCAGAGTGAACCAAAGTGGGGTCACACTGCCAACTTATGATACGTTGATACTCGTCTATGAGCGCATTGAATGACAGTGTTGGGTCTTGTTCAAGGTGGTTAAGCAACCGAGTTCTGATGCTGGAGAACTTGGGTGATTGAAGACTGTATATGAGTACTAGGGGCTTGAACTGGCCTTCAGTGGGGGTCGGGGCTTGAACCGTCCGCACTCACGGTTGACAACGCCGACGTGGTTCAAGGAGTCATCGGTCTCATTTATGACCAGTTTTAAGCAGCGATATCGAGTATTGAAAAGTGAATGATGATCACCGAAAACTTGTAGAAGAGATTGAATAGTGGCGTCAAAGTAACGGTCACGTGGGTTCTGCGTAAGAATGAAGTTGCAATACTTGTCGAGCTCGGATGGACCAAGTTTCCGAAGGACAAGACGCAACTTCCACGAATCATCTCTGTCAGAAAAGTCAACTTCGAAAAGATCTTCATAACGCCTGAACGAAGTATCGAATGAATTATTGGCGTCACGATCGTAAAGAAATTCCGAAATACCACTAGCAATACCATCAACTGATTGAGGAATTGTCGATATAATTGGGGCTCGAGAAGATGTGTGCGCCTAAGTAATCAACTCCACCAGCTTCAGCTGTTGTTCGAACAATTTTTCTAATTTGGCTGGATCCATAGTTAGTCAACAACTTGTTTGCTAAATCTCCGTCGCCGAATTAGTGTGGACCGCGGGTTGGCTACGCTAATTTCTATTGACTGATCAACTTCAGATATCCCAGTACGACTCCAATACTGTTCCCCAATCTCTAATATATCAGAACACAAACCGTAGATGAAAATGGTTTATGTGGTCAGGAGAAGAATAAGAATAATTCTTTACACACAAATGCATACTTATACATTTAGGACTACCGTGAATATTGACCAATAGGAAAATGAAACGTGAAATAAATATCGACCAGCAGGGAAACAACACGTGATTTGATTATTGACCAATAAGAAAATAACACCATTTCACGTTTAAGGATAGCATTAGACTTAACAGGATAATTTTTGAGATATTTTTCTGAATATCCCAACACAGACATTGAAGCACATTTCGATTATACTTGAAATTACAACAAACCAAACTGACTAGTATGCTTTGCTCAACGATCATATTTTCCAATTACATACGTGTTGTGACTTTGACAAATGACTTATTTTTTTAATGATTGGTTTTGTTTGTCTGACACTGTTTGAGATGGATGGTATCCATTGATTCTCCAGGCAACATCTAAAATCTTACCTAAACATAAAAGCAGGCAAAGAAAATTTCTCCTCTTATTAGTTGAATATATTGTCTTTCGAACTCGGCATTCATCGTCACTGTTGATTTCCCTCTTTTTTATCATAAACTATCCCGCTCTTGTTTTAT